ACGCGACATGATTGCGCCCAGAATAACGCCATAGGAAAGGCTTAGAGGTAACTCGGAACAGCGAACTATGGACCTCAAAAAAAATATACTCAGTTCGTCTTTTCTAACAGCTCCTGGTGTGAATACCAAAAAAAGCCCAACATTTTGACAGACTGAATCATTTCTTTGTTGGGTAGGCCACGATTCTCCGTTACAGCAGCTTGATGTATCAATTAAATAAATTTGGGATTTCCGATGTCGCTTATTCCTTCAACACAGATAACAGTGGAAATCTTGAGAATAGCTGATTCCTTGTTGCACTTATTGATCTGTGAGTGTCCTTGATAATGAACTCATCCATGATGGATGATCAGCTTGTCGCATTTTACTCTCGTCGCACAAAATTCAAAGCTCGAACTGCCCCGACTCTCTGTATTGCAACTACAATTACGGCTGATTCGAACGCTTGAAAAGAATGCTTCTGAGCAAATTTCGTTTTAGTGCATTTAAAGCCAAAGTCGACGTTTGTACGCAGGTACATGCTGAAGCAGCACTGTACATACAGCGCTATCAGCACAATTTACTCTCTAAAGCTATGTTTTTTATTTGTCCAGTTAGATAGAATTTGATCGAGTGAGATATCTATTTGATAACACGAATAAAAAAGCTGGTGGGGTCTTTATCCTCTGATTACCATCAAACTTTTCTTGAGACATCGTTACATTGTCGTCAGTTTTATTTACATAAGACGACTCGGATACAATTGTATTCACATGAGGAGGTCTAGGAGGGGACATGGGAGGTAATGTATTGCCTATCGACGGCTTAGGCAGCTGAACAGCATCCTCAGCTTTCAGACTCTCCAACTCAAACTCATCTGTGCGGATTCCAACTGCATTTTTAGCGCGATAAAAAAGGATTTGGCAGCTTGAATTTTAGTATTCCTGGCCAAGAAAATGAATATTACTTCAGCATTAATAGAGCGCTAGCATCCCTTTGATCATAGCCCTTTCAACATCAGACGCTGTTAGCGTTCCTTGTAAAAAAAATATGTACGTCGTGGTGCCCTTATATATTCCTTTGATAGACGAAAGTGTTACATTGCTGATATGTGAGCTTTTTACCGTTTGTGGGCTTGCCTAGCGAAGCCGAACAGAACAAACAGGGTCCTCACTACCACAAAGTACACTAGCATGGTCATGCTTGCCTCAACCGGCAATATGTGCTTGCATAAACAGCACAAGAAGGTCGGACTTCCCAACAAGCTTCTGTTATTCCGTGACTACATTGGATTCAACTCACAACTCATAAGCTCTTTTTGCGTGAAGTAAAGTATCGCGCAATCACCACGGGACACCGCAAAGTAAGTGAAAGGATGAAAAATTGGACTAGGATGCTGGGCAAGTACCAGCTTGTGCGCATTCGATGCTACACAAGCACATCCGTGGATCGCATTATGCTTTTAGGTCTCACGCAAAGTCGGACTTACCCACTTTTCAAACTATCAATTAAATGTTCCACTTTTGGATTCAGTTCTAAAATCGAGTTTGAGAACCTATGCTTTTAATAAGACTCAAATGATGAGAACGGATTATCATTGTGTGGATCTTCACTTTTCTTATAGGTGTCACTCGTTCGGAAGACTTTCATAACCCTGAGAAAAACTATAGCTACTTTTTTTCTTCTATCTCTGTAATGATCCCCTCAAAGAATGCATTCACTCATACACCGGACGCAGTCTACAAGCCTGATGGACTCCGTTGTTTGCCTATGTCGTGCGACAAAGATTTAGTTTAGCGCTTGCATACGAATCATCATATGGATCAACCATTGTTATACCTTAGAAGTTCCACATTTGTGGTCTCAATAACAAATTGGCAATAGCGTGTGCTTTATCATCTCATTTCGTGAATCAGGCCAAAATTCGGCGATCGATTCAATCATGTACTTATACTAACTTTGGAATTTGCTTGGCTTTGAAGTCGGTGACAATCACAACAATTGCGTAGTTGATAACTTCACGGTATGAAATCACCATGATAGCGCATAGCGGAATGACAGTTCATAGCCGCTTTGAAAGAGTAAGCACTGGTCACGAAATGATTATGCATTAGCTGACCTATATAAATCTCTTCTACAAAGCATCAGTGATACACTGTTGTAACATTGTGCCACTTTTGCACGAGTAAGATTGGTTTAGATACCATGGCTACTGTGTCATTATCATACAATCAGCGGCATGCAGTACGCGCAAAGACCCTCACTTGCTCAAAAGACATCAAGAGTACGAATGCCAAAGTTAGTATTGCGTTTCAGAGCTAAACCTTTTGCTAGCATGGTTCCGTCACAAATTTGAAACGAAAAATGCCTTCCGGATATATTCAACTCATAAGTATACATGAAAATTTACTTGTACAGTCACTATTCAACATGCAACCTATTCACAAACATTCTCAACACTAATAGATAAACAAAATGCACGCGTTCACTGATAAAAGTGTTCGTGCGAGCGCGGATCAGAGAAAAAGCTCGAGGGAGTTGACGCATGTTGTTGTTGGTTATACGATCGACCGGTTGCAAACACTGGCGTGGATGCAAATCGACTCGACGTAAATTCAGAAAAGTCTCCATGTTCTGAGCCTTGTGTGGGTGTAAATCCTGCTCCTGACGCATCGAATCTACCACCGTCGTTATATTCGTTAAATTGTTTGTGATGGCGCATATCATACGTCAAAAAAACAGGATTTTCGCTCTCTCTATCATAGATTCCCTGCTGGTGCTTCAGATTATGGTGATGTGATTGTTGGAAGCTATCGCGCTGTGCAAAACTCGACCAGCGCTTCAGCACCAGCACAAACATCGTGACGTACCGCGCGAAAAACAGAAAGAACATGAGCGAGTTAAAGATGACGAAACCTTGCGCTACTATAGCACGCCAGAACATGCTCAATTCACTGGATGTGAGGAAAGCGAAACAGCACAACACGTTCACAATAGCGACAACACGTAGACCCACCACAAATATAAGCACCCAGCTAGCCGCAAAGGGACGAATGATGACGGCTGCAACAACAAAGAGAAGGTGCGAGACCATCAGCGCAACGAGTTGAGTTGGTACACCCTGAATAGCACCAGTGGCGATGCCAAGAAGAGCTTGGACCCCGACCGCTATGACAAAAAAATACCGAAACGTCATCTTGGAGCCGCCATACAGCGTTCCCCATACTGCAAAATACTTGAAACGAAAGGCATCGTTGTTTGGAATGGCTCGTACGCTTAAAAATGTAAAGCTTAGACCACCTCCTACGACAGCCCAAAGCGAAAAGAGAGCCACTGCCAGGCCAAATCCCACACGATATCGCAACTCCATCACCACTTCAAACGAGGACATCGAAACTAATGGGAAGATACTGAGTATCCACAAAGCGACACCTAGACCCACGATGCACATAGCAGAGCTGTGGCGCAATTGTGTGGGATAGAACGCTGATTTCGCATCTTCCGACATACTGTGGTTATAGTAGGCTGAGCCAGCAAACAATGCAAAGAGCATCACTACAGCAGCTAGAACCGCCAGAAAGGTCCAAAAGGCGTTGAGCAGCACCTCGTCTTCATTGATGCCAATACGGTCAGCAAACGCCACCACGCCTGTCAAGATAATGAGTTGCAACCTTCGGGCAGCTACTGATGCCGCAGTCGTCGTTACCGACGAAAAATGTAAATTCACGATCGAGAACGAGTCAGTATAGTCCAAGACGATCTGAGGCGCTTTAGTGAGTTCCAGCATTGCGATCGAGTTGATATGCTGCATATAGCCCACGACGACCGCTAGTTCCCACACGTTTGGTGTAAACCATTCTATGCTAGCACGACGATTGCCATGTGAAGTCCCACGTAACCACGGTGGTCGGTGCAGCGCCAAGACATGGAAAAACATCAATAAGATTGCCGAGACAATACCGAGCGCATAACTTGCGTATAACAATGCGTTTTGAATCTCTTGGGACGTCGCCGAAAGCGAAATGGACGCACCTGGTGGCAGATTCGCTCGGTTGCCGCCACCCACGATAAGGTGACTGAATGATCCGCTAGAATCTCTGAGTGCTTGTAGGTCACCGTTCCCTCGACTGTACTTTTGAAACGTCGTCATTTGACTTCCGTCCGTATAAATGATTGCAGAGGCAGTGTCACCTAACACGACTAGATGGTCGTCTTTAGTTGTCTGCATTTCACTTTGATCCTGACTGCCTGGATCAGTATGTTTTGTCACTGCTCTAGCAGTCGAATTTTTAACGTCGGGAATGTCTGCAGGAATTACAATTCCGACTAAGTCCGACGAAGCGTCAGCTGCATGCTTTATCTGAAAGCCTACCATGGGCGTCCTTGTTCTAGGAGCAGGACTCGGCGACGTCGACTCAATCGATTCAAATGTAACTTCTGCCTCGTAAGTGGTGTTGCCTTTGTTAGAACCTTCCGGTGATTTTGATGTGAGCAAAGTCTGAGAATCGTCATAGGATTCTTTCAATTTTTTTGTCACAGTTGGAGGTCGAGTTACAGGAGCGGGACTCGCCGCGCCCTCATCAGAAGACGGTGGAGATTTCGATGCAGTAGGTTTTGCGGTTTTCACAGGATTAGCTGACATCGAATCTTTGGAGTTGGATGAGGAGTCGGATCTTGAAGACGTCAAAGTCTTGCCAGACAAAGTAGAACTTTGACTTAGTGGGCTAGGTATCGGAGGAGGACTCCATGCCACTGGAGGAGGACTCCATGGCTCATCCGATGATTCGGATGATTGGGATGATAGATCAGAATTCGAAGAAGGCGATACATTGGAGCTATCCGTCGAGTCTGACAGGTCGGATCCATGGCTTGTCTTCAAAGCTTTCGTCTGTGGTGTACTCGCTATTGGGGGGGGGCTAAATGGAACGTCCACCGAGCTAGACGAGCCAGCATTTTCATAAGTCTCCGACGAGCTAGTAGCGGAAGAAGAGCTGTCGGACCCCGATGATACAGTAGTAGACGACATTTTGGGAATATCAGGCACCGGAGGCGGGCTCCATGGTATCTGATCGGGTGTTGCGTCGGCAATTGACACATTTGCAGAAGTCTTATCAGAAAATTCCGAGTTCGAGTTTTCAGAAGCTGCTGTCGACGAGATTTCACTACTTGATCCTGAATACAAAGTCGCGGGAGCGTTTGCAGGTGCATTATCGCTGCTTGCAGAAGCATCAGACGACAAGCTAATACGAGAGTCAGAAGGTGAATCTCTCAACGGCGCAACTTGTCTAGATCCCGGCAACAGCGCTGACGAAGACGAGTCTTGTGACTGCATCGAATCATCATCAGGGTTAAATTGGTTATAACTGAAATCTGGAGTTGGCGTAATTAGCGCGTCTTCATCCGATCCTTTGCTCGATTCCGAACCGGACA